AATGAATGAATGTTTTGAAACGGGCAATATTTATGAAATTTTTGGTAGAGCCTGTCATCAAGTAGGTGCTCAATGGCTATCTGCAAGAGGTTTATACGAAAAAACACACGGTAGGTGATGTTGAATTTAATTCAAAAAACGAACACTTTTTTAAATTTTTAGTAAATCATATGTAATTTCTTAATATTCAATAAGCTGGTGATGTTTCAATGACAAGCTGTCATCTCATACTTTGACAGTATTTTGTTTTCAACATTTCATAGCTATTGGTTGCTAAAATTTGTTGATTGGAACTTGAAGCTCAGTCGCTGTATTTGACGAACTGTTACCCTAGGTGGAGAACAACGGACTGTTGATTTGACAATCCTGGTGAAATCCACCCTTAGTGATACGAGAAATTAAGATGATTAATTGACACGAAATAACGATCTTCTGTGGGCTGCAAATAACGACTCAGCAATTTCATACACATTTCCAATTGTAGGGGAAGAAAAGTCCTGATGGTCTTTGGAAGTAGTGAAGCGCTGATTGTGACGTGACACTTACACAGAGTATTGTGTAGGGCTCATTGTATCTGACTAAGAAATGACTAGTACTAGAGCTAGGAGAGAAGCCCATACTATGTCTTCTAATAGTAGACGACAGACCACAAAGTTTTAATAAACTGAAATATTTTATTTTCAACGCTACTGAGAATTGCTTTGGATATGACATGACTTTTTCCAGAGGATTTCAATTGTGCCCAACTCCTCAGCGGTGTTTTGTTCAGCGTTGTCTTATTTAGAAGCAAGTTTATAGAAAGGGATTTATGAATATATTTATATCTAAGCGTTTATTTACTGTTGAATGGAAATACATATTTTATACATTAGCGATAATGTACAAATTTGAGGCGCACTCATGTATCTGCAATTGTATCAAATCTGTTAATAATAAAGGTGGCCAACCTAAATCCGTCAGCCTAATTGATGTTACTCATTCATATCTGTCTATCTACATATCTATAATTCAAAACAAACAGATATCCTGACAGGTTATGAAAGGCACTATCTCATTTATAAACTGTGGTCTAGAATTAGAAATATCACTTAAACGTCGTTGACATGTAAATATTGTTCATCCATCATCAGAGGATATTTTCAAACAACATGTACTCAGACGGACGGATGAAACAGAACTCCAATTAGCAACTGGAATTATACATCTAAATGTTCTACGAAGTCTTGATAACAAAGATCGCGATGTCACTGAAAATATTACCATACTATACGGCACAATCTCTCCGAGAAAAAGGATTACAGGTGTTCAGCTAGAACTCTCCGAAGACGCGTTATGTCTCATAAAACCGACATTTTACGTTATATCAATTGTTGTGGTATGTGTGCCATTGAAAGTTGACTGGATTGCTGTCAAGGTATTGGACATTGAATCAAACTGCTACGAAAGGCTTTTTTCTAGAAATAGTTCACGTCGATAATAACTGTAATAATCTTAAAAAGCGTTATATACGTTTTGAGATTGCAGGATGAAAGATTTGCAAGAATGGAAATAATCGTAAGCAGCTTTGGTAAGACTTTGCTAAATGGGATATTTTTTTTCACCGAAGCATCCGAGTAGGGAGAAGCCTAAATGCCAGGGCAGCGGGTCGGCGATCAGGAACTTAAACAACCTTTGTTAATCCAATTTTGAACTGGATAGCCAAGAGCCTCCTCATGTAAACTGTTCCACAATCTCGATACCCAGGAACAAAGGAGTGGTCGTACCGGCCAGTTTTAGATGTATGAAGTTTAATACGGTTCTGTGGTGCGACTTCATTTATTTATTTATTTATTTATTTATTTATTTATTGAAATCCACCACCAACAGTGTTAACCAATTACTGGTGGCAAAACAACAATAGAAATAGTAAAAAAAACATATAAAAATACAACGAAAACTAAAAACTAAATCATTTCACTGCAAACACTCTTAATATTCGAAATACTTGTGTTGAAAAAATCAAATGTACTCTGCAGACTATTATAACATGAACACATCGAGTACAAAGGTGAGTGCAACAGTAAGTTAGTTCGTGGGGTAGGTAGGTAAAAAGTGAGTGTATTGCGAGTAACAAATTTTGGAGCATTAAATTTAATCTGTGCTAGAAATGATGGACAATCATAACTGCTATGCACTACTTTATGCAGGAATATTAGCGAGTGAATCTTTCTTCTGTTATCAAGCCTGATAAACTTGTGCTTACGTAACAGGTCTTCCTGTGGGACCCCAATGGGTGGGTACGTACCGTCAATTTTGAATGAAAGAAATTTCAGAAATTTCCGCTGAATCTTCTCCAGAGAGCCACAAGTTGTAACATAGCATGGATTCCATATTAGCCGTCCATATTCTAATTTAGACAGTATGAATGAATTATAAAGCATAATCATGGCATCTTTGTTACTTAATTCCTTTGAGTTACGTATTACAAATCCTAATAATCTGTTGACAGCATTAATAAGGTACCCAATATGAGGATTGAAGCTAAGTGACATGTCAAAAATCACACCCAGGTCCTTGCATTCTTGTACTCTCAGCAGAGAATGATTGCCAATTCTGTAGTCAAATGCAATAATATCTAGCTTTCTAGTGTAAGACATAACACTACATTTATTGTAGTTAATTGGAAGTCGATCTACATCACACCATTTAACTATTTTGGCCAGGTCTTTTTGTAAGTGAGCACAGTCAGTGCTGCAGTCGACATTGGAAAAAAATTTCAGATCATCAGCATAGATTAAGTGGCTGCTGTCGATGTCGCTAACAATATCGTTTATGAACAGTATGAAAAGCAAAGGACCTAAGCAGGAGCCTTGAGGTACCCCTGAGGTTGGGAAGAATTCAATGGATTTGACACCCTCATATTCAACATATTGCTTTCTTCCTGATAGATATGACTTAAGAAAGGATAACAGCTTGGGGGAGAATCCAAAATAGCTCAGCTTCGTTAACAGAATACTGTGATCAAGTTTGTCAAATGCTTTACTAAAATCTGTATAAATTACATCCACCGGGCTATTAACATCTAATGCAGAGGAGACTAACTGAGTAAAACAGGCTAGGTTAGTTATGGTTGATCTACCCTTCATAAAGCCATGCTGAGAAGTACTTATTTGGGAATGTGTATTGTGGTATAGGAAATTATGAAGCAAAGTTTCTAAGGCCTTGGAAAAGATATACATACTAGGGTTATCGGTCTATAATTTTCAACCTGTAGTCTATCACCCTTCTTGAAAATGGGACGCACCTTTGATTCGCCCCAAATTTCAGGGAACGTGTCAGTCTTTAAACATAGGTTGAAGATCTTTGTCAAGGGATGAGCTAAGACGTAGGCACAATCACGCACTAAAAATGATGGGATTCCATCGGGTCCGGAGGTAAATTTATTTTTCATTTGCTTTAACACTGTAAAATCTTCTTCTTCGGAAAAGCTCTGAAGTATTATGTTAGTATGCAAGTCCGAAATATTGATATCAGTTGCGTTCGAGGGCATAGTATATGCAGATTGAAAAAATAGCGCAAAAGCATTAGCAATTTCATTGGGTTTGTCATACTGCCTACCATTATAGTTTACTTGGCTGATTGTGGAATTTTGTCCCCTTTTATCACAGATAAATGACCAAAAATTGTCCGGATCCTGAGATAGGCTACTTTGGATATCTACTAGATATTTTTGATATGCGTTACGCTCATCGCGCTTAATTTTGCTCTTAAGTCTTTGAACTCAGTGTATGTGATCAAACTTTTATCCTTTTTAAACTTTTTGTGTAGCAAATTTTTTCTTTTAATGTCTCTAATCATTTCACCGTTAAACCAAACTTAAAATTTGAGAGATCTGAGACTTGTCCAGGGACACACATATTAAAAATTTTACGAAGAATGTTATAAAATGTTTCCAAAGCTACGTTTACATCTGTTAAATTGTCAAGAAACGTCCAATTAACCAAGCTTATTTGTTCATGTAGTGCTACAAAATTGGCTTTTCTGAAATTATATGATTCTCTGGCGCATTTGATACTCTTTTTAGAATGGAAACTCATGTTGATTATCATGACAAGCGGAGGATGGTGAACATCTTCAGGTAGTAGGTCATCATAAGCCTTAACGACGCTACATTGTTTATTTGATAACACTAAATCTAATAGCCTATTATTTTCATTCCGAACATCATTGAATTGAGAAAGATCGAAGAAACCCATAAATGACTGAATTGTTTTCTGCTGGTGAGAAGATTGGAGGTGATTTTCATTAACAAATTCGGGAACATTAAAGTCACCTAGTATATAAATACTTTTGCCAAAGAGGTAATCAAGCGATTCTAAATGTTCAAAGAATCTTTCATAGCAGGAAGTACTCGTGTCAGGCGGTATGTATATCACAAAGAAATAAGTCACTTCATTTTTATATCTAAGTTTGATTCCAATTATGTCAATACTGGGAATATCGTCTCTGATAAAAGTCATATTTACCTCGGATGCAGCAAGTTGATTACGAATACCAATTAAGACACCACCTCTTCTAGAACACCCCATCGCAGAGAAATTTCTGTCCGCTCTAAATACAACATATTTGTCAGTAAATAATTCAGAACTAAGTACTGCAGACTGCAGCCAAGTTTCAGTACGACAGATGATATCATAGTCAGACATAGCGACATTTACAAAGAATTCTTGACACTTAGAGTTCATCCCGCGTACGTTCTGGTAGTAAACGGAGATGCGACGATCAGAAAAGGTAGAAGTAGAAACTCTTAAACAATTTTGAGTATTTAAGTGTTCATAAGGGATTTCACCGGGAAAATCCGAACTAAGAAAAAAATAACCTAGCTTTGAACTCCTCAACTTTTTGTAAGTAACATGGGCACCTAGAATCCCAAGCCGCATGTGACATGTCATAGTTGGTATTTCTGTCTAGATTATTTCTAACACAGTTAATACATTTTAAGTTCGTGGCCATGCAGTTTTTCAGTGAGTGGCTATATTGATTGGATTAATGTCTAAAACTTTACATGCAAATTTCTCACTTAGCACATCTTTATTTTGAGACTTAATGGAATTAATAAAGTTTTCCGCAGATTGTTTTTCAGTCATACCCGCAACCCGTACTCTAGAACTGAATCCAGCAACCACCTTGATGTCGTACTTGTCAGAAAGCTTCTCCGCAGCAATTTTCTTGAGCTTGAGATTGTCGTCATCGGAATTGCAACCAATTAGGATCCCCCCATTCTTTACGTTCTTGACACCGGAGAGCTGAAGATTTTCTGCGACTGGATTCACGTGATGAAGCATGTCGGCTTTAGTGGCTTGTGTATTTTGCGTTGCATCTTTAGGTTTGATGATGATTGCCGATTTTCCTTTCGTAATGGCCGAATACGATTTCTTATCATTTATTTCAGGTAACCAAGCTGGATAGTCTAGCATCTAGAATCTCGTGCACGGATTACATTTCCACGACAAACCGTTTCTCTTTTCAATGGTTTTTACTACATCAGCTGATAAGCCCTGGCAAGCGGCATTAAAAAATTTCCCACAAAAACCTGCACATTTAACACTTTTTGTTCTAGCACTAATAGAGGAGTTACAATAACTGCAAACTGGATCACTCATAATTGTAGATCGTGGTGTTGCATCGGTTGCGTATTCAAGAACAGGGTGTGTGATGTTATAACGAGTGATTTAGTTTTTACTTAAAATTTTTACTTCTAGTCTTACTCGAGCTATTTGACCAAATGGAGGTGAGCTATAAGTTGCAAAGGCCGAAAGATGTGTTTGAGCCAGACCAAGTCTCGGTGATCTGGACTACAACCACTCAAAATGAACCCTTTGGTAGAACGCGGCCATCCATCGAAACTGGATGAGCACTAGAATGCTTCTTCTCAGCCAAGGTACAGTACCGTGTTTTGGAAGCATTACACTGTACAAGATTGTTGCGTCCCCAAGCAGTGATAACCTCCAGGACTCTCGTTAGGGAGGGAGTTGTCGCCAGTGATCTTTTCTCCAAGTCACTCTGAAAAGTCCTTCATGCAGAGCGCTGCCAACAGCAAACCTGCGGATTGATCGTACCGGAAAGGAGATCGTTGATTTGTAAGAGAAACAATGTCGGAGCCAAGACCGATCCCTGGGGAACACCCACGTTGACATTGTGGGATGAAGAGGAGAAGTCATCGGATATGACGGATATCTTGCGGCCAGGGAGGAAGCTGGTCACCCATCTGCAAAGCTTCTCTGGGAGGCGATAGGATAGAAGTTTGTATAAAAGGGACAACATGCCACAGCTAATCGAACGCTTTCATGATATGAAGAGCAAATGCATGAGCCTCATCACAAGAACTTGTTCGATAATTGCTTGACGTAAGCTAGGAGCTTCCTTGTGACTCGTTGGTGCCGAAAACCGTACTGCCTGGCGCTAATCAAGCTGTGACATTCGAGCTACTCATCTTACTTATAGAAGAAAGTAGAGCTCTGGCCTGTAGTTAGCTCTGGTCTGTAGTTGTAAGGGGTTGGCCTTAGATCCTTTTTTTGGGACGGGTTTATGTGCAAATTACCAGTTTTCTGGAAGGTGCCGGATATGTAAGACATCTGTAGGAGACCTCTACAATGGCAGGAATAAAGTCCGGACTAGAAGCTTTGTTGATGTCGAGCGACAAGAGCATCCATCTTACCGTCTTGCGTCTGAAGATTTCCTTCTCCATAGTGTAGGAAACCCTTTGGCATCCATGGTTGAGTTGGTAGCAAACGTCTTGGCAAGCACCCCCGCCTTAGCCCTAAGGGCCGTAAGAATCGTTCCATCCTGGCAGGTAGGCTGTGGAATGTTACTCTTCTGGAAGTTCTCTTCAATCTGCTTGTCCAGCGTCCAGAAAAATCGACTGATACTGCGCTGCTAATTTTCAAATCGTGCTGATATTTGACTACACGAACCTTCTTCGAGCAGTGAGGCATTATCAGATATGGCCCCGTATAATACAATTCAGGAATCCTTTGTCCTCTTAGTACCTGGATCTACTTCTCGAAACTTCCTCCGAAAGCATTTCATTCATCCGGTGGATTGCGCATTATATTTACATTATAATCCGGACCGACTCATTTTTTAAAGGCCGGGCCGCCAAAGGACCCGCCAATAATTGGCTAGAATAAGATGCTGTCCGCAAAAACTACATGGAATAGTATAAATAATTCCCATTGCGCGTCTCTCCAGCTGATTTATAGGACATCTGGCGACAGTGATGGAAAGTAGCGGAGAACGACAATCAAAGGGCTGCCGCGCCGAGTCCGAGCGACTGTATCATAATGAGGATTGTGGAGAACAGTGGTAGTGAAGTTGGGCAGACTATCTGCAATAGGTTTATAGGAAAAAACACACGGTAGATGATGTTGAATCAGTAATATCGCATATCAATTGAAGAAAATAACATAAACATGAATAAACAATCGACAATATTAAATAAAAACATGAATTTTATTCAAAAATCGAACACTTTGTTAAATTTTGACTAAATCGTATGTAATTTCATAATATTCCATAAGCTGGCGATGTTTCAATGACAAGCTGTCATCTCATACCTTGACAGTATTTTGCTTTCAACATGTCATAGCTATTGGTTGCTAAAATTTGTTGATTGGAATTCGCTGTATTTGACGGACTGTTGCCCTATAGGTGGAGAATAACGGACTGTTAATTTGTCAATCCTGGTGAAGTCCACTAAGTGACATATAAATCCAAACACCCAGTTTAAATGGTTTTATTTTAATAAAAGTTGGTGAATGTATTTATCTTACTGTAAATAACAAGTGAACAAATTTTCAGCCTTATCAGTTGGACATTACGATTTTTATACTGCTTTTTTTTAATTCACTAACGCTCTAAAAATGAATATTTCAGCCGCAGTAAAGAATCAACGTTGGCGGATTTTGGTTCTTGACATCCTTTACGATCGGTTACGATGCCTAGAATACGGAGACCTGTACGATTTCGTCAACTTAGTGAGTTTGATAGGGGCCGTATAGTGGGACTTCGGGAAGCTGGACTTTCTTTTCGGGCAATTGCAGTTAGAGTGCAAAGAAATGTAGACACTGTGGTTAGGTGTTGTCAGGCATGGCTTCGAGAAGGCCGTACGCAAAGAGCAAGGGGCACTGGACGCCGCCGTAGAACAACAGACCGTGAAGATCGCCACCTAAGATTATTGGCCTTAAGGGACCGTTTCTCCACTACCAGGTCCGTTGCAAATGAATGGTTTGCAGAACACGGAAGACCTATTGGCATGAGAAGTTTTGGCTTGTTTTCATACCGGCCACACTGGGTCCTCCCTTTAACTCGAGAACACCGACGTAATCGCCTTGAGTGGTGCAGACAATGGTCACTCTGGGATCAGGAATGGAACAGTATTGTCTTAAGTGACGAGTCTCGATTTTGTTTAGGCATGCACGATGGTCGTGCCAGGGTTAGAAGGCGACGTGGTGAAAGGAGGATTCCACAGTTTTTTGTTGAAAGACATGTTCATCACACTGTTGGAGTTATATCCACGAAGTTCTAGAACCCCATCTTTTACCCTATCTTGACACCCTGGCAGATCCAACTTTCCAACAAGATAATGCCCGACCACATGTTGCAAGAGTCACAATAGACTTCTTTCAACATAATGATGTCACATTGTTACCATGGCCACCAAGATCTCCGGACTTATCCCCAATTGAGCACGTGTGGGATATGATGGGTAGGAGATTGCTCAATTTGCAACGTCCTCCTCAGACTCTAGAAGCACTTCGAGAGGAGTTGGTGGTTGCCTGGAATGAGATACCACAGGAGGACATTGACCACCTGAACAGAAGCATGCCTAGGCGCGTTGGAGAATGCGTAGCACATCAGGGTGCATCCACACGTTATTAAAGGTCAAAGGGCTTTAAAGCAGTGCAATCATTTTGAAATTTTTATCATTTACTTATTATGCTTCACTACGTACTTATAAAAAATTTTATTAAAATAAAACCATTTAAACTGGGTGTTCGGATTCATATATCACTTAGTATAGTTTATAGTTGATACGATTCTGCTCTCAAACGCGCTCTGCTAATATCCTGTTACGCTCATAATTCACCGGGTATCTGTCTATTATTAACTTGTCATAACCTTTCAATTATTCAACCATGAGGTGTAGTTAACCGTATCTAGGCCAGACTGTAAAAAGTTAATTATGCATACCTAGCAGATACTATTTATATTACTTTGTCTGTAATAATGTGTACTGTTTTTTTAACAGGGTCATAATCGTACGATTATTACACAGGGAAAAGGCAAGCTTTTACATGGTCAGCTCTAAAATATCTATTAGATCAAACAAATTCACGTCATTACTTCCCAGATAACCGTAGATTCGCTCATGTCCAGCCCAGGTCTGTGAACTTAGCTTGAAAAAACCGGGGACTAGGAGTTTATTAATATCATTGGTTTGTCCAACGTTTGTCCACATTTGTCCATCAATTCGTTTGTCTCCGCTTAAAATAAAAAATTAAGTTTTGGGACTAACTGCACGCAGTCCCAAAATTTTCGAATACTGAAAAAAAGTTTTACTGTCTCGTGATGTCCACCATTTAGTTTCGTTTGGTTCATCTCACAAAAAGGATTTAAGGACGACCCTTGCGACTACAGACCTATAGTTCTGCTTTCTGTTATAAGAAAAGTGCATAAATCGGACAGTTCTGGAGCACCTTGAACTATGCAGTAAACACTTATGGCGAGGCTCATCCCAACTAGCAAAGTAGTGGTATAAGCTTTTGGTAAAAGAACCGTTCAGCCATAAAAGCTCTCTATTGTTGTTGCCTGAACACCAAAATGCTGGCTTAATGTTGTGTGGAATGCAAATTGGCTTTCTGCAACATATTTGCTCTAAAAGGAGGTGTTTAAAATATTCTTATAGCATAGTTATACAACACCTTATAGGGCAAATTTTTAACTGTTGCATAAACGTTTATACAACTATTTTATACGGCATATTTGCAAGTTAGTCAAAATGGTTGTGTTGTGGCACCCATGCTAACGATTATAAAACAAACCCGAGCCTTGTTGCTTTGTTGTGCAATTTACTACATAAGCCAACAAATTGCTCCCAACGGAAGCAGTTATACAACTGTTACATATGCTAAATATGTTGGTAAACAACTTCACCATAACATAACTTCCTGCTGTCATATTTTTGTTAAAATGCCATAACCAATGGTTTAAGACAAACAACGCATGCATATTGGTACAAAAGGTTTTATCAACTGTTCAAACAGAAGATATAGGTCTGGTACAAATTCTGGGTAACTCATTCGACTTTGTCGGTATTTCATTTCAGACATTTGTCAAATTGTTGTATAACACCTGCAGACAACACCAAAACATTCTAATAACCTAAAGACAACATGGACGATGCCATGATTGTACA